TGATTAAACTTTTATATAAATCTTGATTAAACTTTTAAATAAATCTTGATTAAACTTTTATATAAATCTTGATTAAACTTTGAAATAAATCTTGATTAAAGTTTTATATAGATCATGATTAAACTTTTATAGAAAAATATCATGATGTATTCAAATTATTGGTCTTAGTTGGGGTTGATTTGCATTTTCCACTCATTTCTGAAATTTACAAACTCCATCAAATAAAGGCTTCATTTCCTACCTTTCAGCTTTCACCTTGTTTTGATACTTCATTACAGTCATTCATTTTACATTAACTACTAAGATCTGTAAAAAAACTGAATTTATTATTAGTAAGTTAAAAAAGAATAGTTTTACTCTAAGAGGAAAAAGATTTTTTTTTTTTTTCGGAGAAAGGTTAGAGTGCATCAGGACAAAGCTATTTAGGGAATAATTTTTTTTGGAAGGGGAAACTATAAACTTGCAGAGGCAGTAAGTGGAGTAATCCCTGCTATTTATATTTATACCCCTGAATAGTTCAGGGGTAATTATCTCCATGATTATGGGGGGGGGAGGGGTAATCAACACCAAGATTCAAGGATAACCCCCCCTATTTAAGCCACTGCTTCAGTGTCTACGTCTGAAAATTTTTAATAAACAGTAGATTGACTTCTAATTGTTAATCAGACGATTATTGTGGTGGAAATCATGAATATAAGTTTATTTCTTTGTCATATATCATATTTTTATATTTCCAGTATTCTCCATTCCAACTTGTACTATCTACAGTTTATGTTAGGTTAAAATAGATAGATTTAAGATGATAATCATGTTAAACAGTATGATTTGAGGCAAATTGGTCATTTGGTTCATGAAGAAAACAGAAATTCAGAGAGAATGTTATTGGTGAAAAGCTTTGCTCAGGAATTTGTCCAGGGGGGGGGCTTAAATTTGTTTAAATTAAAATTTTTTCTATATAAACTGAGTTTGAGCACAAAGTCTATGCTCAAAACCGTCTTTTTGGGGTGGATACGTTTTGAGAATTGTTTTTTTAAAGTATTAAATAACAAAGACGCAAATATAGTAAAAATTTTACAGTAAACTAATTGGATGTTTAGGAACATTTTTCTCACAAGAAATTTATCAATAAATTAATTATTTCGTTTTCATATTGAATTTGTTTTCTATGAATTTGTTCGCAGACTTCTACAAATTCTTCAAATTTCGTCTTTTCAGTAAAAATTCCAGAAAACCTATACAATATTTTTGTGAACATTGAGAGATTACAGAAACTAATAACTGAGTAAGATTATTTATTTTCGTTGATATAAGTCAATTTTTATTTTCTCAACCTGTTCCTTAACAACTAATTAGTTTTTTGAAGAATCTTTGTTACATTTTTTGTCGTCGTTATTTAATAATTTAAAAAACTGATTCTCAAATTGTATCTACCCAAATTGATAATTTTGAACGTCAACTTTGCCCTCAAACTCAGTAATTATAGTTTTTTTAAACGTGTTATGTCTCAGATGGATCCGAAAAAAATTGAGTTCAACCACCATACATTGCTGGTCACTCCCTTTAATCCTAAATTTAATCTAGAAAAATAATCATTATATAAACATGTTTATAAACATTTCACAAAATACTTTTTCACCATTGTTAAATTTACATTATCTATAAAGCTCGATTCGATTTTCTTTTATATATATCTTGATTAAACTTTTATATAAATCTTGATTAAACTTTTATATAAATCTTGATAAACTTCTACATAAATCTTGATAAAACTTTTTTATAAATCTTGATAAAACTTTTATATAAATCTTGATTAAACTCTTGTATAAATCTTGATAAAACTTTTTTTTAAATCTTGATTAAACTTTTATATAAATCTTGATTAAACTTTTATATTGATCTTGATTAAACTTTTATATAAATCTTGATTAAACTTTTGTATAAATCTTGATTAAACTTTTATATAGATCTTGATTAAACTTTTATATAAATCTTAATTAAACATTTATATAGATCTTGATTAAACTTTTATATAGATCTTGATTAAACTTTTATATAAATCATGATTAAACTTTTATAAAAATCATGATTAAACTTTTATATAGATATTTATTAAACTTTTAAAAAAATCATGATAAAACTTTTATATAAATCTTGATTAAACTTTTAAATAAACCATGATAAAACTTTTATATAGATCTTGATTAAATTTTTATATAGATCTTGATTAAACTTTTATATAAATCTTGATTAAACTTTTATTGTCTATAACATCTTCTAAAAAGTAAGTCAATTTATAAATAACTATCTAAGAGTCATAATTTTTAGTACTTTAGATTATCCAATTGTTGAAGATAAAATGTTAAACTATTAGAACGATCAATATTTGAGGAAGCTATTTTAAGAGAATTCAATTTAGTCTTAAAGAGTTACATAAAAGAATAACTAAGTTAGTTTAAAAATATTATACTTAAAGCACATTGGTGATCAAAAAGTACTAAAATTATAATTATAAAATACGTGCATTGTCACAACTTTTAAATAAGTCTTGATTAAACTTTTTTATTTTCAGATCTACTAAACGAATTTTTCATATAGAATTTTGTACAACTTATTTTTTTTTTAGATCCACTTCACGAATTTGTTGTCCTCCTTCATCTTCAAAGTTTTGGAAAGCTCTGTAGAGAAGGAAGGTTCCTAGTTGCTGTTGTTTATTCTTCTCCCAGGTTTTCGCAGGACCATAATAATCTCCAGGTTTAACATTAGTCAAATTATCTAGTCCCATAGCATCTATCATCGCAGCTTCTCTAGTATACGCATCTACAGCAATACGGTTTTCGAAGACCTTGAGAGAAACTACTCCGACACCTGCATTCCAAATTTCTAGGATACGTTGAACCTTGGAACTTTTCTCCTGGGAACCCTTTTTTTTGAACGCATCATACATGTGCTCTAACTGTCTGGAACCTGTTCCTTTACCGATATAAAATATTGCATCAATAAATGTTTTCCAGGATTTTTTACTTATTCTCGGATCTATCAGAAGATAGTTGAAAGAGGTCTTACTGACAGATTCCCGAGTATATCGATTAATTGTTTCCATTTGCTCAGAATCAACAGAATCAAACATTTTCGCCATTTCATCATCTAGTTTCCACAACTGGTCCCAGTTCTTCGTTATACAGGAGACGTTCTTCAGGGACTCAGGTAGAAGATTTGGATACTTTTCAAGACCTAAAGAGAAGTATTAATTAATATTTTTTAATATAATTTTAAAAACTGATTAATTTTAATTGTGGTTTCTCTACAAAATGACTTGCGCATTTCTACTGCAGGAAAAATTTTAAGAATTATTAGAATTAATCACTTTTAAAGATAGAAAAACGACGATATGTTCTATATCAGATAAAGGTTTCAAGTTGTGAAAGGGTCATTCCATGTCAAGTCAGCCACCGGATGGACGGCATATGAAAAAATCCCAGAACCCAAAGATGAGTGTTCTGAGACCTCCGAGGCCAGAGTTATGGCTCCGGAAAGTTCCTGATATCTCGAGGACGGCCTCTATATTTCAAATGGCTCTAATTTTTTGTTTTTAAATATTATTAACAGGTCCTAATTGTATTTCTTTATTTTCAGCCTCCGTTTGAGGATGTGTATCAATTCCGATTGTGTTGATTTTTTTTTACATATTTTTTTACTGCCAGAAGGAAGGGATTAGAAAAGTGTTTATTAAATGTATTTGTGTATATTGAGCAGGAGATCTGATAATGTAATGCTAATTTGGATTTCTGAATATATTTAATAGGTAGTATTTCTGCTTAGTTACTGTTATCTCTCCTGAACATTGCTTAATATTTAATATTTGGTACTTTTATGTAAGTAAGGGATCAAAATTATAAAAGCAGACCATCAATTCAGTATTTTTGTTAAATATTGTACAGTAAAATTGCATGTGTGTATTACTGATTTTAAAATATTTTAGTGTAGGTATAATTCTACACCTCAGATACAGAGAGAGGGGGGGGGCTGGTTTACTTGTCTTAGGTAGGGTTAAAATCATTACTTATACCTACACTGCCCAAATCCCCCCCCTCCTTATCCTATATCATTGTGTCAAATGTCAATTACAATCATTCTATTTCTATCTTTCAATTTCGGTTCACTACTTACAGAGAAAATCTGAACTGGAAACATATTCCTGATTTAAAATGCGTTCCCAACTTAGAACGTGTTCTTAAAAATAAGAATTCGCGTTAACAATTTTAACCGTTCTTTTCAAGCAATTCCTGTTCCGTTCCGTTCTTTTACTAATAGTTCCAATATTTTTCCGAACGCATTCTAGGCGTTCGTTTTTTTTCCGAACAATGGGATCGTTCTTGATCGTTCTCATGAAAGAACGATCGTTCCCTACTATTAGGGAGGCAGAGAGATTTAATTTTTACCTAAATAAAGTTTGACATTATTCTCATGGGTTTGAAGATTCTAACATGATATAATCATTGCAATACTTTAGTCCATCCAGATTCTATGACCTAATGTGGCCAGATTTTTAAAAAATAGTTTAATCTTCAAGAATTGGAAACTTTTTAACACAAAATAATCAAAGGACAAGGATTCCGAGGTGGCTCGGACGAGAAAATGAGGAGAATGTGGCTCGGACGAGCAATTGTTGTGGCTGGCCTTCCTCCCCTCGTCACACACTCACTGACACAACACAAAAATTGACATTTACACATTTTAAAATTTCAAAGATACTTTTTTTCCCAAGAGAATAGGCTGATTTGATGTAAGCAAATTATAGTTCTGTTAAAGCATATTCAGGGGGGGCTATGGGGGCTAAGCCCCCTCCTGGACCAGTGAAATCTATTGATTTCAGGGGGTTTTCAGGCCCCAAAATTTAAGTCCCCCTGGACAAATTCCTGAATACGCCCCTGAGCATATTCAAGTATCTGCTAGAAAACAAGTTACAGTAAACTTTTTGGTTAGTCTCCAGAAAAAGGGGGGTCAAAAGATACTCTTGACCCCTCCTTTTTTCAAAAGGGTGGGTCGTCGACCCCTTGACCCCCCCCCTGGATCAGCGCCTGCTTAGCTTGGTTTAATTAGATTCTAAGTTAAGAGGGTCGACTTTAGTGGGTAACCTGGGCTGCGCGCTGGGTTTCCATAACCCCTAAGGACTAGACTTCAGAGGCGACTGTACTACGTCTATTTCCAAATGTTTATTTTTTTACTTCAGCTGCTAAATTGTTTCTTCCTATAAAAACTAGTGATAACCAGAAAACTTTGAAATAGGAAGACGACTTTATAGCAATATTTAAGTGTGTTTGATGTCAAGTTACAAAGCAAATAGTTTTACTAGACACTTATTGCATCACAAATAAATATTAATGGGTCTGTTTACACTGCACAATTTTTGCATCCCATGCATATTGATGTATTTATACAGTCATTTAACTTGAGTCTAAAAGTCGTCTTCCTAATTCCGGAGTTTACTGGTTATCATTGTATTTTTTGCCTTTGAAAGACTAAATTCATGGCAAAAGCCTCAATTTTACCTTTAGTTCGTGTTTTAGGTCGTCTTTACAGTTTCAACCTTTGAGGCTACCCTGTACTAGGGCCAGGGGGAGGGGATGGGATGAAAGAACTCAATTAAGAATACAATTTTTAATTCTGTGAAATCTGCGAAAGCTTATAAATAACTCTCTTAATGTTTTACAAACACGAAAAAAACAATTACAACTTTCATTCATATATTTATTCAACTTCAAAGCATGAGATATTACAAATAAGCAATCACAATTTACTATGCAGTTTGGACCCGCCTAACCAGGGTTGGTTGTTTTGAGTGGTTAGCCCGAAGTTAATGAACGATACTGAATATAATTGGATA